TAACCCCTCCCAAATACCAGCCCTCCCTCCCCGTTTCATGGCAGCTGAAGCAACAGCAAGGCAGAAGCTGACACATGGCCATTTTGGTGAAGGGCAGGGCTTTGGGAGGCAAAAAATGCTGTATTCGATGTATAAGACACACACAGATTTTCAGCCTCTTTTTTGAGGAAAAAAAGGGGCGTCTTATACTCCGAGAAATACGGTAACTAAAATCTATAATAAAATCCAGTGTCAATTATACATGGTCTGACTACGTTAGTTGCAATTCCTAAACTGTGTGGCCAGTTGTAGGTTCAACGCTCAGAGGGAAGTGACTAAGCAGCGCAAAGGCCTTGCCACATTTGTATAACATCACTATGGTGGGGAAGATATATGTTTGTGACGAATCCCCAGGGCTCCTGCGCAGAATCTGGCCTCCTGCTCTGTAGTTATGGGGAAGGCAGATTCACTTCACAACCGGGCGACCAACTTAACGAATGCAACGCTTCACTTAACAGCGGTGGCAAGAAAAATTGTAAAGTGGGCAAAACTCGCTTAACAAATGTTTCCAGCAAAAACTGGGGCTCAACCGAGGTTGTAACACGAGGACTACCCAAAGCCCTCCCAAATTAAGCAAACTCACCTTGTCAAAAACTCGGAAGGCCTCGCGGATCTCTTCTTCACTGTCGGTGTCTTTCATTTTCCGGGCCATCATGGTGAGGAATTCTGGGAAATCGATTGTGCCGTTGCCTGGGAAAAGGATCAGTCAGATCAACTGACTAAAAAAAAATGAAATAAAGATAGCTCTTTGCTACCCAATCACAAAAGGCTAGATTCCCCACCAAAGAAATTTAGATTCTCCACTCCCCCCTCACCTAAGCTGAAACTCTGGAAAAATCAAGGCCTATTTTAGCCCCTTATCTCTCTAGTCCTAGTGGACAATCACTTCAATATCAGCCAGTGGTGTAATACAACTGTCAAAAAAGCCAACACAGTTCTAGGCTACATCAACAGAGGGAGAGAATCAAGATCACGTGAAGGGTTGATATCACTTTATAATGCTTTGGTAAGGCCACACTTGGAATATTTGCATCCAGTTTTGGTCACCACGATGTAAAAAAGATGTGGAGACTCT